AAGAGTATGACAACGACACTGTTCCGGTCTCTTCCACCTCAATGTTGTCGAACTCGGTCAAACGCTCTGTCCAATATCTCAGCTTGCTAGTTTTGAGTTGTCGCTCCTCTATTGTTTGTGTTTCCCATTCGTTCATTGCGTCCTTCCACGTTTTAACTAAAACGCGCAAACCCGCTTTGCCATTTGTAAAGTCGCCGGAAGCGGGGTTGGGCGACTCGCGGCGCGGCTCGAACCCCCATTCGGGGCCTGCCCATTTCTTGTCTGCACTCCGTTTGAACCAGTATACCGGTCCCTTCTCAAGCCCCCAGTTCTTGTCGGTGCAGTGCGCTTTGTAGAGCATAGCCGGGTTATCATCCTCCATGTAGAAACGGAAAAGGTGGGGTGTGGCATGGCCTGAAATCAAGTTGTCAAGGTACGGCGAGATCGCGGTTTTCCAGTCCACCATTTCCAGCAGTTGGGTGCACTCCACTTGCTCCTCACATGACTGTTGCAACACCGCAAACAGTTCTTTCATCGTGTACGCGTCGGAGGCGTTCAGTTTGCGAGCAAACAAACTAAACTTCGCTTCGATGTCGGTGTGGGTATGACCAACTATCATGAACCCCATCAGAATCTCCTTGAAAATCCTAAACTTCACCAACAATGCAAGAAATGCGAAGACGAATCTGTTTTTGTTCTGTCCGCCGCAGTTATCAGCTTGGACGCGAAGCAACGGCAGGAGTTTGCCTTCTCGCGCTTGCACGTCCCTCAAAACTTTGGCAATGGACGTAACTACCGAATTGGACCCGTGAAAAAGTTAAGGAAACCAGGTGTGCACAATCAACGACGGATCCCTACCGTGAGCTATGATACCAGTGAGGTTCGTTTTCATCATCGTATTATTAGCCATCTCCTTAGACAAACGTCGGCGCGATGCATGGGGAATGGTAGTCTTTGCCTGATCCATTCCATCTATAATGATGCACAAACTTTGGTCCTTATGCAGCTCGGACTCTGCCGACCATCGGTCATACTGCTTGCGATGGGCCTTCTACAGATCGAGGTGGCTCCTTTGCGCTGCAATCAGTTCCCGCTGTGGCCCCGGCAGTGCTCCTTCAATGAGGATAGCGTTTTTTATGCACACGTTGCACCTCGCGTGGTCAGTCGTTCGAGCCAGTCTAACGTGCCAAAAATAGTCTCTCCATATCTTACAGAACACCTGATACGACGCGCAAGACACACCCAGTTTGCCTAACATGCGTTCGATGCTATTATAGACGTCTTTCTTACTACCATACACCGAAGGGAGACGAATACGGTTCCTAATCTCGAAATCCGGACCCGTCTCCGTCTGATCCGGCATAGGATCGGACTCGTCGAGGATAATATCCTCAAACACAGACCATGTCAACGCATATTGCGTTGTTGTCCGATGACGTCCCTCGTTAGCATGACCTGCATCGACGACTCCTTCGTCGAGGTCATCATTATGTCTTTTGTATGTGTTTCGGCCACAACCGAGTATCAAA